GGGTTCTCTAGTTTCAGAGCTTATATTCTCTTCAGTGTATCCAGCTGCCTCCCATATTTTATACATCTTTGGACAAGCTCAATAATCTTTAATGAATGAATATGTACATCACTGAAACATATTCTCCAGGTCACTGCCTTGAGTGGATTAAAAATAACTTCCATGTGAGGATTTATGAAGAATGCTGACCCTCCTTCGGCACCAGATTGCTCTTTGTAAAGGTGGACACGCGCGTCCGGTTTCGACGTTATGGGTCAGGGCTGCCTCCGCTGTCGCCTCTGTCCAGCCCTTTCAGTTTTAGGTCTCCTCCTCTGGGCTGCCCAGGAGGACAGTTGCTCTCTCTTTGTTCTCCCCCACTCTGGTCCCTGGCCCAAGCCTGCTGGCCACCTTAAAGTGTGGGTTCCTCTACTCTCTGGTCCTTTCCACTTGTAGGACCACTGGTGATTCACAGTCACGTCCCACTGGCAGTCACGGCACCTGTGTGCAAAGACACGCTGTGGGTTAGCCGGGCCTCTTCGAGAAGCAAACCACAGAAACTAATTTACCAAAAAGGGAATTTATAGGTTTGTGCAAATGAGACGTTCACAGGATGAAGTAGCCTTAAATATGGCTGGATTCAGAGTAGAAATGGATTTACCATGAGCCCAGTGGAGCCACCTTCCTCATTGCTTGGTTGCTTTAAGCATCAGGAGAGGCCCTAGCAATACAGTGACAAAGTCCACACCGTCGTATGTTTTTCTAAAAGTTGTAAATTTCACTTCCCTAATCCAAGAGTGTTGGGGGATTAGAGCCAGGAAAGCTACTTACAGGAAGAGTAAAGCCCAGGAGGGTTCTGAATAAGTGGCAGGAAAAAGCACCCATGGGTGCCCATGGCTGTTCTGCTCCCTAGGCTGGAACACGACCTTTCTCTCCTCCTGATGAATGAATGACTCAGCTCAGGTGGCACTTGATCTAGGAACCTTCCCTGACGCACTCCCAACCCTCCTCCCCTCACTCTGGTGCTCTTGCAGTGTTCCCAGCAGCCTCTGGGGCTCTCCTCTAACAGCAAATGCTGTTCTCCCTGTCTTGTAATTGTCAGTGCTCATCTGTGTCCCCACACCTGACCATGAGCTCATTGAAACAGGAAATCTGACTTGGTTCTCCAGTCTCTAGCATCTAGTAGAGGGTTTGTCACACAATAGCCCTTCAACAAAGAACTTTTATAAGCAAATGAGCCTCACTTTGGCTCAGAGAGAGAGCTGAAGCTTTTTTGGGCCTTGCTAACTTTCATGGAGCTAAACTGAGGGTTTAATAACATTGAACTTCAGCTTACTCCTGACCTCTGAGGGAAATAGCTTCACAGAACAGCAATTTTCAAACTTTTTTTTTAATCTCACAGTACACATGAACTAATTACTAAAATTCTGCAGCACACCAATATATGTATTTTTTGTCTGACAAAAAATAGGTATGTTTTTGATTCATTCGCACTGGGCGGCTATTGTTGTGTTGCCTATTGTCATTTTTTAAATTTGACAATGTAAGGGGAAAAAGATCAGCTCTCTGGACTAAGCAGTCGGGGATGGCATGCTTTAAAAATTCTTGCAGCGCACTGGTCGAACATTGCTGCCTAGAAGAACGCAAGAGCAGAAGAGCAGGGTGAATGCCTGGTCGTTTCTGTCCCTCTGTATTTGTTATCCTCCTACATTTTTCTACACACGGTCATGTCAGGTAATTTCTTCTCTAACATCTTTCTTGGATACTTTAGAAACTAGTTTAAAGGAAAAAGGAACAGGTTATATAAGTAAATAAAAAGCCTATTTTTGCATACCAATTGTATTTTTCCCACCTCTAGCATATGACTCCCGTTTTATTAACAGAGCTAGAAGTGTGTGTGTGTGTGTGTGTGTGTGTGTGTGTAATGGGTGTAAAAATTGTTTCAATAATGGAAAAGTAAACATATGGTTGAACAAACACAAGTAACTTTTATGTTGCAATACGTACATGGATCTCAGGAATGGTCCTACAAATCTGAAGTAGGTAAGAGTCAATTTCGTTGTCAGGAACTTAATAATTTTAATTTCCTAAAATGCTGTTTCATTGATATAGATTTATAAAAGGGAAATCACCACTTTGTGGCCACTTTGGAATCTTGTCTACACCTTTGATCAAAGCATAACTACTCTTGGAAGATGACATATTCTCTTTAGACCGTCCAGAATGAGATCTTTCCCTGTTGAATATACAGGGTCAAGCACAAATAATGTTCCTTTTCATCACAAAATATAAGCATGTAATTCTGTGACATAACAATATCACATTCAAGCACACTATGTGACATTTTAGGTGAAATGTTCAAATTGAAACTATAAATTATTTCACCTGTATTATCACCCTACCAACCACAGTCAAGCAGGCCTTCCTTCTGCGGGACCCTAAGGTTGATTTATTTCATGTAAACTCTGCTTTCTGTTGACGACCCTTGGGTAGGACCCATTCATGTGTCCAGCTTGATAAAACTGAGCCCACCTATTTGAAATCTGACCCCAACTTTCTCAAGTACTAGTTTCTTTAAAATTATTCATTTAATTATAAAAATAACGAACAGAACCCATGGGGAAAATCATATGCAACTTTAACATAATAGTTATAATATTTTTTCAAATGTCCCTTTTGATCTTTTTACATGCACATTTTTATATCCTTGTAAATCATAATTTATAAGTTTGCAATTCCCTTTAAAGAAAGTACTGATTCTTCTAAAACACTTAACTCAGACTGAGTCTCTAGAAGACAACAGTCCCCCCATACTTTTTGATGCTGGTGTAGGACTATAATACAGTAACTAAGAGCATCATCAATGGCCTTATACTGTAGACTGCATTTGGACATCTTGCAGTCACCCCAAATTTAAATAATAATGTTTTTTACTCTCCTGAAGGGAAAATGAATTTTGCAAAACAGGCAAGGATGAGGAAATGGAAGGGGCCCATACAAACCCTCTCCACCGGCTAAAAGGCTGAGCCTGTGTAAGTCACACTTAACTAGGTGATGGCAGCTTTCACGTATCCTTGTGGTTCGGTGTTAACCTAGAAAATATTGACTTTTCAAGAGTCATATAACTTGCTATATCATTCAGAGGTCAATATTTATTTTCCAAAATGTTTTCCTTTCAGAGAGGCTCAGCATTAGACACCTACTGATATAACTGACAATTTATTAAAGACACATTGAGAAGGCAGTGAGTTACTACACGCGCTCTTCACAAGCACCAACAGAAGTCTCACTTTGGATTGGGCAGTCTACCGCAGGCCGAGTGGGTGAACTTGAGTGCTGGCGCTTAACATTTGTATGTCTTTGATTTGATAAAGCGGGGTCCATGACAATGACTTCTTTTGTCACATGGTAGGTAGTCAGATATGCAGAGCTTCTGGAAGTAGTGTAGATTGGAATGTACTTTGCATTGTGCCAATCAACATGAGGATATTTTGCTTGTTTTTAACCTATGGCTGACCAGCCTCCCCTCCCCCTCCTCCCTGCCACTTAAGGGCCCCCTCTCCAATTCCCAATCATCAGTAAGGATATGAAGAGGGGATGATAATTTATCATATCAAAACAAAACACAATCTCGAAGAAAAAATATATGTATAGCAGAAAATTTTTTCCACTTATTTACAACGTGGTTCTTCTCAATACTATAGGTAACAAAATCCACCCAGACTGCTTTTGAGCCTTATTTCAAACAATACTGTTGTGTTTTCGGGTTTCAGCTGCTCCTCATGAATACTTAATATCTCTTTCATGGGAGGGGTGGTGGTGAGGAGTGTGAAGATGACATCTTCCAGACACAGCACCAGGAGAAGGCTGCTGTCAGCTGCCCGAAAGGAAATCCAATGAAAAGGGCAAGGTTGCCATTTAATTTTTATTTATTTTAAACATTGTTATTTAGTCATTGATTTTAGAGAGAGAGGAAAGAGGGAGGGAGCGGGGGAGAGAGATCAGATTTGTTGTTCCACTTATTTATGTATTCATTAGTTGCATGCACCCTGACAGGAGATGAAATCCGCAACCTTGGCGGGACCACGCTCCAACCCACTGAGCAACCCGGCCGCGGCACCATTTTATTTTTTAACAGAGCCTGGCTCGTGGTTGGGGCTCAATATTGATGGCTTGAGAGCTTCTGGTGCCCAACTATGTGCAGATGGCCTGCGAGGAAGAAGTTTGAGACCATGTCGTTGGGCCCTAAGGAACACTGGTCTATAATTAAAACAAGACTTCCACCCAGCAAGATTAAAGGTAAACCTTAGCTGTCAGACCCCTTAATTCCAGTTACCCTTAATTGCAGGGGAAGCTCCGCCACCCGAGCCTCCACCCTCTAGCCCAAACGCCGGGTCCATCCCCCAAGCTGGCGATAGCAGGGCGCTTGGCACCGGTGAAGTTACCAGCGTAGCGCAGATGGGCCACCGTCTCTCCCCGGGCGCGCCCAGACGGCGGAGGCCAGGCGCTTCCGGGGGCGCGCGGGCGCTGGAGCTCGCAGCCGCGCGAGGCCCGAGCGCGGCCCGGCGGGGCGGGGGAGGGGCGGCGGCGGGGCCGGGAGCGTGCGCGCGCACATCACACTCCACCGCCCGGGGACGCCCACTCGCGAGTCCCGGCCGTCAGGCCAGCCCGCGCCCTGCCGCCCCCTCCCCCCGCCCCCAGGCTCCCTCTCCGGCTAGTGCCTAACGGGTGTCGGTCCCCGGGTGGGCGGCGCTCTGCGGGCCTTAGGCGGCAGGGGCGAGGACTAGGTCGTAGCCAGGTACCGCGCGGACGCGCCGCCTCTCCCGCAGCTGCCGTCAAAGCGATCCGCTGCAAGGGACCGGAGGCTGCACGGGGCGGGCCGGACGGCGGTCCGCGGCCTGGCCGACCACTGCCCGCCGAGGCGCGGCTGCTCCCGCGCGCCCGGAGCCACCTCCTCCCCAGAGCTGAGCGAGGAATGAGCAAGCGCCGGCCCCGGGCTCTTGGACCGAGGGGCCGCGGCTCGGCTTCTCCCCACGCCGCGGAGCCGCGGGGGCTCGGTCACCGCGACCGGGCGCGGCGCGGGCAGCGGCGGCCTCGCTCCGGGGGCAGGCGCCGGGGTTAACTTCACTGGCCGCGAGGAAGAGGAGGAGGAGGAGCCGGCGGGGCGGCCCCGCGCTCCCTCCCCCTCACACGCCGGGGCTTCTCAGTGGCCGCCGGAGGAGGAAGTTCCGCTCCCAGACTGAGCCGTGCGGTAGCAACAGCGGCCGCGGCGGCGGCGGCCGGGAGGGCGCTGGTACTTGGGACGCGGATGCCCTTCGCGCCAGCCGTCCATTGGGCAGCGCGGGAGCTCTGGCCGGAGCCGGGAGCCAGGGGGCAGCGTCGGGAGGCGCGAGCGTCCGGGACCTTCCGCCACTTCGCCCAGCGCCGCCGCTGGGTCTTACTGAGGAGGTGGGAGACCGCCCTCCCTGTTGGCCGGCTTCCGAGGAGCCCCTGATTTTTCCATCACTGCGGTTGAGCGGTTCTGGAATCGAAGCAGAAGAGGAGGTGAAAGGAACCTTGTACAACTCCTCGGATCTGGCCAGTCCCCCTTCGGGGGCGGGAGGCCACGCTGGAGCATCCACTGGGGTGCAGGAATGGAAGAACCCACCTTGCATCTTTTCTGCGGTGTTGCCTGATCCACCCTTAGGAATGAGAAGGACACTTTCAAGAACCTCGATGGAGTCCTGAAAGCCAAATGGCAAAGAAGATACCACAGGACAGAAACTAGTGATCGTCTGGGGGGCCACACACGTTTCTGAGTGTAATTGGACAAGCATGGAAGACGTGCCCTGTTAAAAAGCACAGCAGTCCTTTACGAGGAGAAAAATTGAATTTCCCCATTCTTGCCAAGGTTTTGAAGACTGTTCAATGTATTGTACATTTGATGTAAGATGACAACTTTATAAAATATTCTGTCCAAGAGCGTAAACGATGACTACCCCAGCCCTGCTGCCCCTGTCTGGACGAAGGATACCACCCCTGAACTTGGGGCCGCCTTCGTTCCCACATCACAGGGCTACCCTGAGACTTTCCGAGAAGTTTATCCTCCTTCTGATTCTAAGTGCCTTCATCACCCTGTGTTTTGGGGCATTCTTCTTCCTTCCAGACTCTTCAAAACACAAACGCTTTGATCTGGGTTTGGAAGATGTGTTAATTCCTCACGTAGATGCCAACAAAGGGGCTAAAAACCCTGGAGCCTTCCTGATTCATGGACCCGATGAACATAGACACAGGTTTGTTTATTTCAGAAGTTCTGGTATTAACATTTGGCAGAGCAAGGTATGGTTCATTGCATCAGATATCTCTTTTGCCCCCACCCCCACCCCCCACCCCCTGCAGTAAAATGTAATTTTCCGAGCCCTGAGACATTTCAAAACTGGCTTAGTAGAACCATAGACTGAAAGGGTCCCTAGAGCCCGATCTAAAGTCCAGTTCCTTCGTTTTATATGGGAGAAACATTTGTGTCCGGAGGTGACCTAAAGAAAGAGTGCCATATTGCCGTGCCTTCATTTATTAGGAAGGCGTTGCGTTCAGTCGTTGTGCCACCAGTGAAATAGGTATATTGAATCCTGACAGCTCCTGTGGGGTTGTCAAGTAAGTATTAGAAGATCGTCTGTTAAAGGGTTCACATTCTTTCAAATCACCAAATCTGAAGTGCGCTAGTTCTAGGGAGAGTTTGGCCAGATTAGGATAAACTGGGAGCTCTGGTCACAATATTTTGAAGTCATCTATGTAATTAGTATCAAAAGAAGAGTTTGGGAAAGTAGTTTACTTTTCTTAAACCTGCACCTTTTTTAATCTGCTAAATCTTTCCCTTCTTTTCTCTGTTTCTTAAAATAATTTCGAGTATGTGATAAAAGTCATGTACTTGAATTGTTTTCAGTTGACATTAGTTTTAATTTATTATCAAGCAGGAGGTTTTGGAGAAAGCTTAGGTTCAAATGTGAGCCCAAGTTAAATACTTGGGAAAATGCACTGTTGTAGTGAGAACTGTTTTTTTCTTTTTTCCTCAGTCTTGTTAATTTATTATTTCCTTGCCGGTTCTTTTACTTTTGGCTAAACCTTATGGAATAGTTCTAACATTGTTTCATGCCATTCTTTTGTAACTAAATTATTTTGGAATTTTTGGAATTATTTTGGAAGCCATCATTTTCAACTTCTATACTCTTTTGTATTTGTTTTTTTATTTTGCCCTTTGCTCTTTGTGACTTCAAGAAAAATCTAATGTGGTCTGTGAAATATGTTGCTGAAAATTAACACTGAAAGAACTTGTTTTCCTTGAAAATCTTATTTCCCATGGCATTTATATAAGCTATGATAAGTAGTTGAAAAAATTTTTTTGAGGTCTTTGATGTATGTGCATTAACATTATTTAATGTTAAGCAGTTAACATTAAATAATGCTAAGCAGTTTCCCCTATATTTTAAGTGTGGTCTAAAAGTTGAAAATATATAGGTTTATATATATTTAACCTTCTAGTTTAAAAACCGTCACATAGAAGTATTCTCAGTTAAGTGGAATTAAGATTTAAAATTCGAATGAAAATACAGATATTTTTAAAGTATCACGTTTTTAAAATGCAGGTTTTTAAAAGCCTACTCAAATCTCTTAAATAAGAGTTCTGAAATTTATATAGCCTGTGAGCACCTGTGCTTGTGTATTGCTGTCCAGAACTATTGGGTTCCTGAGTTTGCAGTGAGAGATTGATTATTGAATTCGGATAGCAAGGGGTAATAAGCGAGCCAAATCCTTAGTTTTAGGTAGTGAGGGTCTGAGTAGCAAGTGATATAAATGAGAATTTATTGAAATCTGTCTGGTTCCTGAGTTCTGAAAAGCAATAATTCAAATAGAGTTCAGGTATTGAGGAATCTCTGAGCATAAATTTCTGGGTCTTACCAGTTGTTTTTATATTTGCTTAGTATGTTATCAGTTGTTTCTTAGCCATATCTGAAAACATAGGCTGTAGTGATAAGAATTCTTGTAATTTGAGCAATGAAGTACACTTCAAATTATAGATCATTCAAACAGTAAGTTCAAACATAAGGCATAAAACATCAAATCCAGTTAACATTAACTTATTTAAAAATAATTCAGAAAATAGCATTTTAACAGAAATAGTTGGTTCTAAGATCATACCTAATTTGGGGGTGGGTCAAAAAAACTTTCTTAATTTGGAAAATATAAATTGATAATTTAATTTTGTATGTATGGAGAAAAGTGCAGGATAGAGGGATGAGGGTAAGTTAAATCATGGCCATTATCTTAAAAGTATTTTATGTATTTATTTTAAGGGAGAAAAGGAGAGAGAAACATTAATTGATTGCCTCTCACACGCCCTCAACCAAGGAGCTGGCCCACAACTCAGGCATGTGCCAGGACTGGGTATCGAACCTGGGACCCTTTGGTTCACAGGCCAGCATTCAGTCCACTGAGTCTACAAGCCAGGACCCATTATTTCTTATTCATAGTATTTAAGGGATACTTTTTGAATTGGCTTTTCTTTATTAATGAATTAGTTTATTGTATTAGTTAAGTGCTTAAGCTCTGTTTATTATGTTAGTTAAGTGCTTAAGCTCTGGAGTTAGGCTATCTGGATTCATACACTACTTTGTTACTGATTAGAATTATGCTCTTGAGCAAATTTTTTAACTTTATACCTAAGTTGCTTCCTCTGGATGACAGTGGCATCCATTGATACTTTACAGATTGTTATACTGACTGAGATCATTCATGCAAAGTTCTTTACATAGTTGCTAGCATTTAGTAAATGCTCAATAAAAGCAATTATTATTATCAATGATTATAGTTTTAATTGAGTATTTTAATTCTGAGTCTTCTTACCTTTAAATGTTTCTGAATGTACAGTCTTCTTACCTGTACATGTTTCTGAAAAGTTGGGTACAGATTAATATTTTAAAAGCATGTCAGAATCTTACTGTCCAAAGGAACATTGTATAACCAAACTAGGTAGCAACAAGTGTGTACTGTGTGTCTACTGTGGTCAGACCCTGCTTTGATGGACCATCTAGGGGGATGATGTGCATTAAATGAGTAAATTTATTTTTGAGGTGTGATGAGCCTTAAGAAGTTGTTCTCGGTGCTGTCAGAGCACACGTGGTGTAATTTAGCCTGTGGAGGCCCCTGTGTGGAGGTGGGGGATTTGGTGGCATCGGAACAGGGAAGACCTCCTTGAGGAAGCGATGGCTCCGACACTGAGAACAAGTAGGAGATCTCTGAGTGAAGTAGAGGTGTGGGGAAAGGACACCAATGTGTGTGAGCCTTTAGGTTAAAAAAACACTTGGCATCATGAAGGACTTGAGAAATGTTCAGTATGGCTGATGTACAGATTGGAGTGGGGTCCTAGGTGAAGAGATTAGAAGGGAGATCAGATTTGGCCTCCTTATTGTTTAAAAAGTTTGAGGTAGCTGCCTGCATTCACATATCAGGGGATTTCATGTAAAAGTCAGGAATTCTGATTTCTCCTGAAAAATTAGAGGTTATGGTGACACCCAGGTTTGATTTTTCAGAGGGTGGCTCTTGGTTGAATCTGGGTAGCAGCTGCTGTCTCTGGAGGGACATGTGCTCCTCACTTTATGCCACTCAATTAAGTTGCCAGAGAAGTAAATGTAATGAATCAATATATTTTTAAAAGATTTTTATTTATTTGTTTATTAGGGAGAGGGAAAGGGAAGGAGAAAGAGAGTGAGAGAAACTTGGATCAGTTGCCTCTCGCTGATGCCCCTGACCCTTGGCCCAACCAGCAACCCAGGCATGTGCCCTGACCAGAAATCCATGGGCAACCTTTCACTTTGCGGGATCGATGCCCAACCAACCAAGCCACACTGGTCAGGGCTAATGAATCAGTATTTACCCTGGGCATTGTTGAGTTCGCAATCTCTAGGCGGTATCCTGGAGAGTTTGTACTAAAGTGTTTCTATGGGAAGTCATTGAAGAGTTTTCATTAAAGCAAGGGAATGACTTAATTATTGAGAAATTTTAAAAAATGAATTGCTTGGGTTGCAGTGTAAACACTGGATTGGAGAGGAGCAGGAGATGCAGCGAAATCAGTTAAGAGGTTCTAGGTCACAGGATATTATTGACTTATACCACAGTGGTGATAGTAAAGGAAAAAAAAATTAGTGGAAGGAAGTGGTTGTTGATTCAAGAGCTGTTCAACTATTGTTTCACAGACTTGGTGCTTGATTGAATATGGGGGCTATTGTACAAGGAGTCCAGGATAACTAGTTTCTGGGTGTCATGGCTGTGGGTTACTAAGAAATATATGATATTTAATTCTATTTAGATATATGTACTTGTGATTGCTGGGGGAAGGGAGCATAAGGGGACTAAATGCTAATGGAAAAACACACTAAAGATTAGATTTATGTAATTGATGTTACATGAATTTAAGATAAAATATTTTCATCAGAAAACCTGTATGTTCTCTTCTGTTTAGTGGTTTATAAATAATTTAGTTCATACCTTCCAGATGATAATCATGAAGTGTGCAGTTTGGTGTTGATGATAGTCATTTTTAGCAACTGTGATTTTAAAGTAATCAAAACATGTTATAATACACATGAATGTTGTTAAAAATACATATTGATACACATGAATTATTCTGTTCATAGTTTCTCTATATAATAGACCTAATTAAAATTTTACTTATTGATTTCTTTCATTTTTAAAAAATTAACACTCGTTTTATGTAATGGTATTAATATAAATGGGCTTTGTAGTTTTGTTTTGTTTTTTAAATACTTATGTGAATTGTCAGCAAGTTTCATCCATTAGTCAGGATTTTGTTAGGGTGAATTGAATACTTGAGGGTTAGGCGTATGTTAATTTCTGATTATTTACTCAAACAGAAAGAACATAGGCTTAGGAGCTAGAAGGGCCTAACGTTGCCCCTTGCTTCTACTAAGTATCTGTGTGACATTGAACTGGACATAATCACTCTGAACCTGTGTTGGCCAGTATGGTAGTTATTAGTGAAATGTGACTATTAAAATTGAAATGTGGCTAGTTCAAATTGCAGCATATTTAGTGAGAGCTGCTCGAGTTTTTCATGTCACGATTTGTATTTTTTGCTTGATTCAGTTTTGCTGTTTCTTGTAAAATTAGAGATATAAAATCTCACTGTTGTGATTTAAAGTTTCTTTTCTTATCCTTCTTCCATTCTTTTTTCCCCTACCTGTTCTTATACTTAGTGCTTTCTGCTCCTGTTTTGGGG